CTTCTATCAGGGCTGCTTGTGCTTTAGCTTTAGCTTTGGTAGCTGCTGCACTGGCTGAGGACTTACTCGTTCTCCCTGACGACTTGGACGCTGCGACTTGCGACAAGACCTCAAAGTCTGTTTGCCTTCGTTGTTACATGATGTTCTTATCGTCGTGGTCGACGACAGTGAATCTGCTCCCAGCCGGTTGTGTAACTGTCTTTTTACAGAAAAGAGAAATAAAAGTTCAGACGACGCAACGTTTGGAGTTTATTTTTTATTTTTTGTTCGCTATCTGTCTCAAGCAGATACACCTGCGTGAGGACAGAATAGACGTCCTCAGAGAAGGACGAATCAGACTCCATGTGTCCAGACTGAGGACTGAAGACTCTGGAAGACTCTGGTCTGTATCTGTGTGAAAACTGAAGATGGATTCAACTCTGGAAGATGTCGACTCAGCGTTTCTGGTGAGAAGAAATCATTAATATGTAAACAAACATTTTTAGAAACTTTAATAAATTCTGATTCCTGTATTGATGAACCAACATCTTCATCTTCTCCATGAATTAATATTTGATGGAAACTGAGATCCAGGAGGATTCATGGAGAAGATGAAGATGTTGGTTCATCAATACAGAAATCAGAATTTATTAAAGTTTCTAAAAATATTTGTTTACATATTAATGATTTCTTCTCATCAGTAACGCTGAGTCGACATCTTCCAGAGTTGAATCCATCTTCAGTTTTCACGTCACACAGATACAGACCAGAGTCTTCAGTCCTCAGTCTGGACACATGGAGTCTGATTCGTCCTTCTCTGAGGACGTCTTTGTCGCTCTGGACTCGTCCTGAAAACTGATCATCCTGAGACTCTGGAATCTCAACACCTTCATGAATATGATAGAGAACTAAGACTCCATGATCCGTGTTCGCTTCACAGTAGATGAACAGATTCTTCCAGGTTCCCTGAGTCTTGGTGGTGAAGGTCCACTCCAGAGTGATGCTCTGCTTCTCCTCTGCCTGATAGCTGCTCTGTGTCACATTCACTACAAATGTTGCTGCTGAGGAGACAGAGAGGGAAAGAGAGGAGCAGACACACTGAGAACTGGAACATGGGAGTCTTTCAGCTCCATCTAGAGAGCTTTCTGTCACAAAGACAAGATGGAGACTGACCACAGAGACATGAGCTGAGGATGAGGAGCAGCAGGATGCTGGACATCATCTTCATCCTGAGAGAGGAAGAGGAGGAGAGGCAGCACAACATCAGTACAAGGAACAACTGAATTGCTGTAACTTTCATAACATGATTGAATGATTCACCAAGATTTACAAATGACGAAGTGAAGAATAGTTTTCTGGTGGATTTTTCTGAATTTTATGTCACTTTTACTCTTTTAGCTCAGAAAAATCAGACTTTAAATAATCAGGATGGATCAACATCAGTGAAGTGATGAAGATCATCAGGACAGATTTTGTTAAATTATTTCTTTAATATTTTGACGTATTTCATCAACATGGTGGAAAAGTTGAGTTTAATACTGGAAGACAAAACAGAGAGAGAGCATCGATGTGATTCATGTTTGAAAACAGATCAGTACTGCCACCTTGTGGTGATCAATAGACACAGCAGTAAAATATTAGGACATGTTTTACATTAGTTTTAGTAAAATCAGTCTGTTATAAAATCTAGAAATAGTTTAGTTTTTCTTTTCTACTGTTTTATTATCACATGTCAGTTAGATTAAAAAATAAACATGACTTTATTTCTACATTGTATCAATTACGTTTTATTTTTATAGCACCTTTCAGCAACAAGGCATTTCAAAGAACTTTACATCATAAAAACACAAAAATACAAAATCATAGAACACAGCCAACTTGTTTTTAGCTAAAAACTGAATAAAGTAAACAAAGAGCTGCACTTTGACTGTTTTGACCTTTTTGCTTTGGACTGCGTAAACCAGAACCCACAATGCATTGTTTTAACTATTTGAGTTTATTTCACTTTGCTTTGATCACTTGTGAGATTTGAGTTTTTTCAATTTTGGAATTTTAGTTTTTGGACAAAATGTCAATAAAATATTGTCTGTGGTTCTGAAACAGATTCTCTAGAAGTTAAAATGCAGAAAGTCAATTTATTATTTTAAATACATCTTTGGTAAAACAACAGAAACCAGATCTTTATAATATTAACAGGTTTTAGTGCATTAACAACACCAATCATTATCAAGCTGCTAAATGTTTTATCAGAGTTCCTCTACATTTTAACATAAAAACTGACCAATAATAAACTAGAACAGACTGACTCACCTGTAACCTGCCTGGATAAAACCTGTGGAGTTCTGAGGTCTTTCCAGCTCTATTCCCTGTTCACTAGAGTTTCAGGGCATCTCAAGGTTTTAAATATATTTGTGCTAAAAGGTGGAGTCACCAAAAGGCAAATAATATCAGGATATTTAACAGGGATCCTGTCAGGTTACTTGGTGCTGCCCAGACCTGCAATGTTTACTGACACTTTTTTCAATCCTCAGACTATTTTCATCAAACTTAATGCATTTAAGAATTAATCATTTTTACAACATTATAAAATACATTCTCACCCAATAAAGCAGGTTTTCACTTTGATTTATCTCTGAACTTTAATAAGAAACACTGAATGCAAACGGTGAGAATATTTAAAGAGAAAATGAAACTGAATAAGGAATAAAATGAACACAAATTAAAGATAATTACTGAAGTTCAGGTAAAAGTCCAGCCTTCGTGCTGCTGCATTAGTTAACAACACATTTATCTGTTTCTGTACTTTTAAAAAAGAGAGAAATGTTCTTTCACTCTGAAAATGAGACTCAGTTCAAAGTCTAAAACAGAACTAAAACCCAGACCTGCTGTCATGTTGACACTTTGCCAGTTCTAAGAGTCAACATGTCTGTTCATGATGAACAGAACCAGTTTCTATATACATAAACTTCTAGATCATGTTACATTTTAGACAGAAATGAAAAGTAAACCCCACATTACTTTAGTTTACATCAAACAGCCTTAAATCAACTTATTTATGGAGAATGATGAAGAGGAGCTGCAGCTCCAAAACCAGCAGAAATGATCATTTTAATATCTGGAGATCAGCTGATCAACATCTTTACTGGGAAATGTTGCTGCTTCGTAACATTTCTGTTAATAAACATTTTCAAATGATTAATTCTGCTTTTTGTTTCTTTTCAATCTAAGTATTATATTGACTTGTGAATATTTACTAGTCAGCCTTGATTATTATCAGCCCACATCATGACATCACCACCTCTTGAAATTTATTTATTTATATTTCTATAATTTTCTAAAAAAAAAAAAATCTGAACAAATATCTAAGAAAATATTTACTTCTTAATCTTCTAACCTTTTTTCAAAACTGATATCAGAAACTAAAGTATTTGCTTCAATATTTCTGCAGAAATTAACTTTATAGTTAAAACAACACAAGTTCACACAGACAGACGTTTGCAATCAGTTTATTGATTTACTGACATTAAAGTTACAGAAAAACATGAAGGAAATATTTTCAGTTTGGGAATATTTCTTTGAATTTGTCATATAGATCAGATGTGATTATATAGATATAATGATGACTTGTCCTATTTTTTAACCCTGAATGTTTCTTCTAGCAAATGAACTGGAACATGAGAATAAATGACAGAAAGAGAAAATGTTTCATTCAATATGAGAGCAAAGCTGCTGGTTTGATGCTGTTTTTCACATCAGTGATCAATAAAGTTTAATGAGAGAATCTGGAGATTTAAAGTCGTTGGATTGAACCACCAACAGATTATATAGAATAATTAAACCATTCAGGTCAACATTTGATCCTAATGAATATTTTTTATATGTTTTAACAGCCAGAAATGACAATTTGTTTGTTTTTGCTCATTTTTATGAAGCCAGTTGTGCATCAGGCCAGCAGATTGTCATCATGTTGAAAACTCAGTTTAAAGATTTAAAGATGAGATTCTTTGATTTAGAAACTTTCATCGTCTCAAATTCATTCAGCATTTTTATTTGTTCTGCTGCTTTGAACTGAAACTGAACATCAAGGCAGCTGAGTCGTCATTTCAGTGACTTGAAACAACATCATCAATAATTATTGTCTCAATATTACAGATAAAAACAAAGAAACTGTAACATCTGCAGTTCAGTTCTTCAAACTGAGGCTGAACTAAAAATCTTATTTACGGCTGTGTTTCCAGTTTGGGTCATTTTCCAGTTTCTGACCACAAGGGGGCAGCAGTATCTTTACCAAAATGATCATCATGCATCTTTGCATTCCTGGTATTTAGAGTTTTCCTCTACAAAACACCATTTCCCACAATGCACTTCTCCTCTGTGACCACTTTAACAGCTTAAAGCCATTCAGACGTGATCTAGTTTTCTGTTTGAGGCCAAAGAGACTCAGAGTTTCTTTGGCCTCAAACCTCTGAACTGAAGGATGAGCCATACATGGTCCGCCATGTTTCCTGCTTTACAGCCATGGAAACCGGTTAATACCTTTTCCTCCATGGAGGAAGCTTATTCAAGGATTCAGTTTGTTGCTTATTGACACTTTGTTGATTGTCGTCTCAAAATTAGACGAATCACATCACAGTTAAACATCAGTAACATCTGACCTTGTTCCATGCATAGCATTTTTGTAAACAAGCTTATTTAAAATAAGACCTCAGTCTACATTCCTACATCCGAGCCGTCGAGGTAGCTAGTTCAGGGATTTGGTGTCTGGCTCAACGACACCACAACCTGTGACATGGCCGTAAATCGTCTCAGCAACCTTTTGGCCAAAGGAAGATCGACGGTCGGCCATGTTTATGCGCTACTTCTATGAGGTAGAAACTGTTTTCTCAGTGTAATATTTCCCTCCCGTGATTCCACTGATAGCAGCACCGTTTCTGTAGCGCTGTCGGCAAAGTGCAAAGTGCAAAGTGCATTTGTAATGAACCAAAATATTTCCAGAACAAGTTCTGCTCATTCTGCAGAACTCAGTTTCTGGAAACCATAAAACACACAGAATCTGGAGCTCCAAGTCCAATAGGGACTGAAGACGGGGCAATCTTTGGGGAGGTCATAAGGTCATAAGGCCTCCTCTAACACAAAATCAGGTCATGATAAAAAAAATAAAAAATATTGGGAGTGATTTTGATTGTGGATTTTTGGTGAATCTATGTCCTGGAGTTTGATGAGCTGAACCTGAAACCTGAACCAGCAGCAGAGTGGAGGGCGAGTCGTCCTGCTGCTAGCAGGAACAAACCAAACCAACATAAAGTCCAAACCTCCCGCGATCCACCAGCTCTTGGTTTCCTCCTGAGTCTGAGGAATGGAAGCTGCAAAGAAAGAATCAAGAATAAATCAGTAGCTGCGTCTCCATTGATGTTAAAACTCTGTAAAATGAAATTATGAAAGAAAATTTGCTTCATGGAAACAACCCGATTTGGAGAAACGCATTTAAGAAGAAGAAGAAGAATTTTCTGTGTCTTAACATTTGACTCATCCACGTTTTTAATGACTTATTGCATGAATAAAATTATTCACATGTGATTTTAATTGTATTTCTTATTCAATGGAAACACTGTATCTGTAAAATATTTTCTTTTTTAATCTTTTTTCATTTGTGAAATATCAAAGACAGTTTGTAATAAACATTTGTAATGAAAATGCAGCTTTTCAGACCCAAAAATAAAGTGGAAACATAAAAGACCAGAAAATGAAGATTAAACCATTTTTATCAGTAAAAACTCACCTCTGACTACAAGCTCCCAGTCTCTATGGTCTCTTCTTCCGTCAATGACGACGTAGCACCGGTACCGACCCGCATCGCTGAGCCTCACTTCAGCCAGGAGACACCGGATCCCTCCATTCCTGACCAGCTGGGGGTCACAGTGCAGTCGACCTTTGAACTCATCATCTGTGAACGTCTCATCTCTGCTGTCGAACCGATAAATCCTCCTCAGCGGCTCCATGCTCATCAGATCGACGTAGAGCCGGTCAGGCGGCGTGGCGTTCGGATCCGGACGGATCCATTTCAGCGTGATGTTGGAGTTCTCCTCGGCCTCGTAGACGTCCAGAGTTTCATTCACGGTGGGCAGAGATTTTCCTGCAGGAGTCAGAAAGAGACAGAAGCAAGAAATCACAACACAAATCCTCAGAAACACTTTGATGAAGTAGTTCTGATAATCTGATGCATCATCACACCTCCAAATATCCAGGATTTGATGTTTCAGACGCTGACGGACGATTTAAAACATTTTCTCACGAAGCTTCAGGTAAAAGTTTATTTAAAGGCTCAGATGAAAAGTTGTGATCAAAACACTGACAGGAAATAGATCCAGTGATATCAGATCTGCTAATTATTCCTAGAAACCTGAGACGTCCTTCATGCTCTGAGTTAAAGTTCAGTTTCAACATTCAGTCATATTTTCTCACCCAGAGCAGCAGAACACAGAATCAGAACCAGGAGAGACGAGGAGGTCCGGTTCAGCATTGATGCTCTGTTAGAAATAATAAAACACATTAATTATAGACATTATTTCTACAAGTTATCACATGCAGAGACCAAAACATTTTACTCCAATAGCAGTAGCACTACTTCAACATATTTATACTCCAGTCAGAATAAATAATGTTTGGTAAAAAGTTACTGATCAAATTATCAATCATTTAATATTTAAAATTACATAATCAGACAAACCAAAACATAAAGATTTGAGGAATTTTTTTATACTTTAAGGAGAAAAATGACAATAATTTATATAACAACAAAATAACAAAATTAAGAATTTATTATTTTTTTTCCAAATCAGTTTCTTTCCATAAAAAACCTATAAAACTTTAACAAAAACTGCAGCTCTGTGTTTAATTATTGGTTAAAACATTTTTGGTTTTTATTCAGTGGGTAGAAAATTCAGAAATTTGACTCAAGTTAGAAAAACATCATAATAAAAAAACTCAAGTAAAAGTAAAAAGTAATAAAAACAACTAAAGGTACATTTGTTCTAAAAAGTTACTCAAGTTAATGTAACTGAGTAAATGTAACTAGTTACTATTGATCTCTGATCACGTGATAATTACAGAGGATCATCATTTCAATATGGCGTCCATGAAACACAAAATGGAGGAAAATAAAATGTTTCGCTTTGATCAGATCTGCAGACGCTTAATTAGTTTAAAGTTTAGTTTTAGTTTAAAAGTCATGCAGAAAACATAGAGAAGTTTTAATTATAAAACTGTTAAAAACATGTTTGATCAAAGTGAAACTAAACATCTTAGTTCACTGAGTGTTTCTCTAATGATCGCTGTTACAGAAACTGACGTTTTTCTGCAAACATGACGCAGAGAAAATATGCATTTGTATCAAATATTTAATAACTAAAAGCTGAAATGACCTTTGAACCGAAACCTTCATGCAAAAAGCAGCGCAGTCATGAACAATAGGCCCGTATTACAAAAATCAACGCATTCTGCTTTATTTAATGTGTCTAGTAAAACCTCTACAGAGTTTATTCCGTTTGTTATTAATAGAAAAATATTTTATGCAACAAGAAAAGAGCGAAACAAACTGGAACAGAAACATGAAGAATTGTGATAATATTGCTGCTGAAACTTTGTTCCAACTTTAACTAAACCTTCATTTAATGCGTGAATTTTAAAAACTCTTTAAATCTGAAAACATGAATTAAAACTGACCGTTTCAGATGAACCGAGTTGAAGATCAGAGAAAATCTTCCTGAACTTCCTGATACTGGGTTAAGGTATTGTCTTCAGCCGACCTTGTGACGTCATCATCCTTCCTGTGTCTCTTAAAGGGGCAGACACACGTTCAGCCGCCTGTTTATTCCACGGAATCAGTTTCTGTAGTTTTGCTGGATTGTTTTTAATCATAACTAATTATTATACGTTGATTAAAAGAAACTTTCAGACAAAATGGGCAAATAAACCAACAGAATGTTTCTAACCTACAGAACCATCTGTTGCCACTAGGGGGCAGGATTAGTTTGACCTGGTAAAAAAATATGAATGAAGCTGATCTTAAATAAAATGCAGAACTTTATTAGATACAAAGCCAACATAATATCATAATAACTACTGATTACCTGTTGTAATCAGTAGTAACACAACATGTAAAATATGTAAATACAACAGTAACAACAAAGACAAACTATTTTCCCAGTTTCATAAATTTGACCTGCAGCCCAAATAAAGAGCAGATTGACTCATAATTAGACATTAAAGTTGAAACAAGTAAATAGTGAGAATTTCACTGAGGCTCATTAAATACACAAAAATGAAGAAAACACATTTAATCAAAAACATAAACTTATGCAAAACTAAGTTTAAAGAAACAAGTTTGGACACTTTGACTGAATCGCAGTTCCTTCATAAAACCTCAAAATGTACATTTATAACTTTTCTACAATCAATGATCCAACACACACTGATTATGAGATCAATAAAGAAACAGCAAAACCACACAGGCCTTAAGTTACAAAATAACAAGCAGTGTTTGTATAAAGTACTGAAATCTCCGAGTCAAGTAAAAGTATAGGTAGCTCTCTAAAATATGACTTTGGTAAAAGTAAAAGTCACTGATTGAAATGTTACTTGATTTAAAGTATTAAAGTATCTGAAATTTCTTGTACTTAAGTATGAAAATTACTGTAAAAATAGATGTAATCAAGTAATGTAATGAAAAGTACAAGTAAAAAGTAAAACAAGGCAAATGCAGTTTGAATGACATTTTTTAAATTTTGAAAAACTTGACAAATACATTTAAAATAATGTACGCAAGCAAGTGCAGGCAAAATGAAACCTGCTAATAGATGAACCTGCAGGCATCATTTAGTTAAGAACATTACTTTACCTAAACCACAAGGTTAATTTAACTCGCTTTAGGTTAACTTAACCTGCTTTAGGTTAACTTAACCTGCTTCATAACTGAACCAGCTTCTTAGTAAACCAGAAAGGACAGAAAGTACAAAGGTTTTGTAAGCCTCAAGTTTTCCCTTTCAGTAAGGTCAGTGCTGAAAATGAGAAAAATAGTCAGTACAGAAAATGCGGCCAACATGAAGAAAAACACCTTTACGATTCCTCTACTTCACAAACTATAGGTGCATCAACTGGTCATTATACAAAAGAAAAAAGAATTGGGAGGGAAATGCAGCTTATTTGGCATCTGAAGAGGGAGAGATTTTAGTAAACTTGGTGATTAATGGGAGAAGTGAAACATGTGCATCTATTGGTGGAGATGAACAAACTCAGGCAAATCGGCTACCGACTTTGTTGCAGTCGATCAGTAGGTTGGGTCTAAACATTTGCGTTTCTCTCTCTCACTTTTTTGTAACGAGTAACTAAACCACACATTGAAAATGAAGCGGAGCAATTAAGTTCAGAAATATAGTGAAGTAAAAGTGAAAGTTATCAAAAATGTTCATACTTGAGGAAAGTAAGAATGCTACATACTTTAGTAAAGTAGTGAAGTATTTTACTTTGTTACTATACAACACTGATAACGAGAATGTTTAAATAATAAATTACAGCTCTAATTTACTATTTCCATAAAACATTAAATATGGCTTGTACTTTTTAGGCTCTGTTTAAGTCCAGTTGAATCCAAAATGCTTCACTCTGCATTCAGTCATTCATCCATTCATACTCATCCATTCACACACTGATGGTGACCAATACTGGATAACAGCCTCTGCTGCCCTGCAGCAATTTGGCAGCAGCTGCTGTGGGTCGATGCCACTGGCAGGTAAGGCAGGTGAAGTGCCTTGCTCAAGGACAATAAGAAAGAGGCAGATTTGAACCAGCAACATGATAATTTCAGAACAAACTCCTAACACTGTTGTCACCACTGGTTTCTCTAAACACATGAAGTGAAACGGAATAAATTCATCTGAGTAACAGAAAAACAGATCATTGTTTCTGGTTATAGACCAGAAATGATTTAAAACATGAATCTGAAGATATTCAATAAACGACTCAAAGTCATTATTAAAATATAATATGTCAAACAAAACAAGTTCAAACAAAAATGTTCTTTGTCAAAAAGTTTGGTTTCTTCTTCTCCTTTTCTTCCTAAACCAAAACATCAATATTATCATTAGAGCCTTTAGAGTTACTATCAGTCCCACAGTGATGAATGATGATGATGGTCCTTCCTCGTCTCTCTGGTTCTGCAGTCACAGTTGGTCTCCTTACCTATGTATAACAGAAAGAGTATGTTTGGATGAAGATCAGTGGCGGAACTAGACTTTTTTTCAAGCGGTGGCCAAAGGGTGAGCAAGGCTTTATCAGAGGGGTCCATATACAAATGATGAACGAAAGGAAACAAATATTTTCTCACACTCAAATTAAAATGGTTTATTTAACAAAGATTTGCCATGACCAAACAAGGCGTTATACGGCACTATGGAACAGTGAACATGTAAATGTAAACTCAGAGCCAATAATATGACCAAAAACAAATTCTCATAAATAAATAAATAAATAAACTGGTGCTTCTGCTGTGCTATAGGTTGTGCTGGGTGGGGGGAGTTTAGTGCCATTTCCTTCTGCTTCACTGTCTTCCTCCCAGAGTCTGACTCTGAATCTGTATCACCCTCATCTCTCTCTGGAACTTAATTGGAAATGCATAAACAGACACAATAAAAAATGCAAAAAGCATCATGCTAACCTTTAGAATTAGGCTTATTGGATTTTAATACTTAATAACTCTCTATCACAGCCTCTAACCTGCTGGTGATGTTTGGGCCTGGAGTCTCCTGGCTGGATTCTCCAGGTTGGTCACTGCTGCAGGGTTCTGTCTGGTCCTGGTCACTGCTGCAGGGTTCTGACTGGTCCTGGTCACTGCTGCAGGGTTCTGTCTGGTCCTGGTCACTGCTGCAGGGTTCTGTCTGGTCCTGGTCTTCATTTGGGCTCTACACAAAATAAGACAACCTGGTATTAGACTCCATGACTGTTTGGCAGAGATAACACTATTTAACTATTATTTAAACTATAGTTTTAGTTTTCAGTAGCTAGCTAAAATAATACTAAATTAAAAATACATTAATTAAAATTAATTAATATAACTAGTGAGGTTATAATTCAAAGCTTTCATATGACATAGCCTACTTACATTTCAGTCAATATAAAACTTAATGGTTTTTCACATATTCTTACCACACATTTCCAGCAAGAGCTGGGAGATATAAAACATTAGAGGGCAGCATGTGCACTAAAACATGTTAAAAGAATCTGTCTAAAACACGATCTACCACGATCTAATATAATAAACGAGGCACCAAGCAGCGGTGCACAACCTTTTTTTTTTTCTTTTTAGAAATGTATGACAAGAGCCGCCTCTCATTAGGAAGGTAATAGCGGTTACTGCTGAGCGGTAAAATGTAAATACCTGCAAAACTCCTCCACGGTGTAACTCTAAAAGTGTTTTTGAACAAGCAGGACCCACATGTCAGTTTAACCAATGAACAGCGTCGGGCATCGGGCTACCTTCAGGGACAGTCGGAAATTACAGTTTTCCTGGCAAATCTTGGCCGATCTCATAAGTATTGTATTTTAAAATGACCATTTCCAGTGGGGTGGCCGGGGTGGCAAGTGCCACCCCGGCCACCCCTCTGGCTCCGCCACTGAATGAATGTTGAAAAGTATCAACATCTCAGATGTTTTTCATTCAAACTAAATAAATTCATAAATTTCACTTTGAAAATTGATGACTGTCATAAAATGGAGGAATGAGGTAAATAATGTGGGTGAGAGGTTCAGTCTTTCTCATTTAAGAGATAACAAGGACCGGCTTTGATCATCTCTAAACTTTAATGTTTTTAGGAGAATTTAAAAGTTTGATCAAAATGCAGAGGTTCTTATCCACCCATTAGTGTCTTCATGCATCGTTACTGCAATGCTCTGCTTTCTGGTTACTGAGGGAAAGTTTTATGGATCTGCAGACGGTTCAAAACGTGGCTGCTTGCATTTTACCAAAACCAGGAAATATGCTCACATTTCTACTTCTGTAATCTTTTCACCGGTTGCTTTCAGGTTCAAACAGACTTTAACGTTTTGCTGCTCATTTATAAGACTTAAAGTTTTCTGATCTTCTGCAGCTTTATGTCCTACTGCATGTCCTCCCATCTTAAGACACTGACCTTTTAAAAAGTCCTAAAACCAGAGGAAAACATCTGGAGAGAATGTTTTTTCCTTTTGTGCCTCATCATCATGTCTGCTTTCAAGACATCAGACAATCATGTTTTTGAATGATTCTAAGTTAAAGTCACATTTGTTCCCTCTGATTTATGTGTATTAATTTTATACTGTATTTTTTAACTGTTTAATCTGATTTGTTTTGATCTCCTTATTGTTTAACACTTTGAATAATGTTGTCATAATAACTTGTTGTATAAAGTTTGAATTTTTACATATTTAATGTGACAACAACAGTTTAATAGAGTCTTGGAGAAATGAACAACTAGAAGTTTTTTAAAAAAATAAAAAAACTACACAGCAAGTCATAATAAAATATATAAATATTGGGTTATTCATGTAATAAGAACATTAAAAATAAGATTTATTGACAGAAATTAAATTAAAAACCTTTTGAAGGCTCAAGCTGGGGATCAAATCTGTCAACTTTTGCATGAATTAATAAAAACTTTTTAAGACAAATAATTTATCAAAATCTGAGTAAGAAACTCTAAACTACAGAAACATCTTTGGACTTGAGATGTTCTTTAACTTACATGATTCTTGCATCGTTTATTTTAATCTAAAAAAAGATTATTAAATCTTTGACCTTATATGAACGGCTTCCTTCTGGGTTTAAGACATACAGTTTTTTATATTATTATTATTCACAGTTATAAACATGTAACAGTTTTCATACCAACAAACTTTGAAGAGACTTTAGATCAGGTGGAAGATTCACTTTGGTTTTGTTTTCCTTGATCCTGTAAAGGTTTTCCTTCAGCTCCATCGTCTGGGTCGACATTTTCTCTGCGATCTATAAAACAAAAAACATTTCATTAATAACATCATCTGATTGTTTTGATTTCCCAAAGTTACAATATTATTAAGATGACTTGAATAAAAACAGAATTCTGTCATTTTTAGTTTTTATAAATAAAATTATCATCAATCAGCAAAAAATAAAGTAAAGCATTAAGTTTTGACTTTTTCTAAAATTATTTTTCTCTTATTTGTTTCCAGATGTTTGTTGACAAAATAAAACAATCCATAAACCAAAGCATATTACAATAAAATGTAAACATGGTCATATTAAACTGAATATTTAATGTATATTCAGATGTCAGATTAAAAGTATAACTTTAATGAAGGCAGAAGAAATGTCTCTCATTAAGCTCTAATTATAATCTTAAACATGATTTATTAGCTATCAGCTTCTCTGTTGAAGAAAACACAACAAAGAAGAGAAAATCTGAGTTATGTGCAGTAAATAATAGTTTAATTTGTAGCATTTTATGAATGAATGTCGTTGTTTTCTGGCTGTTTCTCTTTAGTGCGTCTGGATCCACAGGTTGGACCCTCTGGTCTAAACCTTCATATCCTGTTCAGGTCAGTGGGAATACTGGTGAGCCATGATGAACCCAGTCAGGTCACCAGTTCATTGCTGCTACATCAATGATCTAATATCTAGTCAGTCACATTCAGTCACTAACAAGGAAGTTCAGCTTCCTGGTTTGATGCTCAGCTGTGATGTTCAGTGACTGCAGCAACACAAACACATTCATACATCTATATGAAGTAACTGCTTAGTTTATCACTGAGCAGGAAAATAAAACAGGAAATAATTAACATAAGTTATTAATCTGGAATTGATCCATTTCCATACCTTCATCATTTCTCCCTCGTTCATGTTGAGAGTTTTTGCTCCAGCATGGAAAAACTGTAAACAGTGAATATTTATCTTAACACACAATATAAATGAGGCGACAATATTTAATTCTCCTTATCAGTTTTTGACTGGTAAAAATAATTAATCAACCTGATCAGGCAGAAAAGCTACAATAAACAATAAAGACCAAAAGAGAAAAAATGAAACTCATAATGGTTTAGTTTCTTGTTTTCTTTTCTTTTCTGTCAAACATCAATAGATATTAATAAATATGTGAAACTTTTCTTATTCATGTTTATCAAGAGTTTTACTTCTATTCACCTTCAGATCAGTTTTTGGAAATGATTAAAAACTATATTATCTATAAACTGGAAATTTGCATGTATGGAGATAATCATTAATTCAACAAAATCCTGCATGACTTAAAGAGACAAAGACTGACTTACCTTGCGGCGACGTACAACAAAGAATATCATGATGATGATGATGATGATGATGATGATGATGATGATGAGTGCTGCTAGAACAACCCAACCAACAAGAGCACCAATAACTACAGGATCAGGTCCTGTGACAAGAAACAAGGTTAACAATCCGCTTTTGAATATTTTTGAATTCAATTTAGCATATTTTAATTTTATTCATGATTTTATTTCATTCACCTCATCATTCAGGTGTCACAGTTACTGCATCATACACACACACACACACACACACACACACACACACACACACACACACACACACACACACACACACACACACCTACATGCAGATCTAAAGGTCTTCAGGTTTTATCTGCCCAGCTGAACATCAACATGTTATAACAGGAAAAGCCTGAAGATGAATATTCAACCCAATGAGCCTCAATGGCTGCAGGTAACAAAGAAAGTCTGAAACTGAGTCAGAGGGCCAGTAACCACTGGTTACCTAGTTAAACATATTTACCTCCAGGATCAGTCGAGTCGCCTTGGGATCCATTTTCATCTGTTGAATAATTACATTAAGTGTTAAAGACATAAAAATATTTATCTGGTTTGTCTTAAATTATCTTAACTTTATAAAACTCACCAAGTATTAGAGTAACGTTTCCCTTCCTGGCTTGACTTTGCAGTTTGGGAACAAAGCAAATATAATTCCCTTCATCCTCCTTGGTTACTTTGGTCAATTTGAGGGAAATGTTGCCTTTTTTAAACTCATCAGGGAACATGAAGGTTCGGTTAATGTACTTTGGATCTGAAGCTCCATCATCTTTAGTTTGGCTGCGATGCACATGGATTATTTCATCCTTGAATCTCCATACGATTGTAAATGTGGTCAAATAATATGGAGGCTCCAGATGACATGGCAGAATGACGTCGTCTCCAACCTTTGCATGAATCGGATCATGACCAACAACCTTCACTGGATCTGGAAGAATAAACAAAGATTTTAATAAATCAACATTAATATTCCTGTTTGTTGTTCAGATAACATTCATACTTATTCTCCTGTAGGATCTTTACAATTGTGAAAAAATATAGATGTCCCATTAATAGAGGTTTTTCAAAATAAAGGTTTTTTTAATTTGTTTATAAATGTAAATATATTAATTTCTTATTTACTTCTGTAAAATTACTCATGTTTAACTCATGAAAAATAAAACCAGATATTTTACTGGAGAAAATAGTCAGGACTCCCTTTAACAGTCTTTTAGTTGATTTGGTTTTACTATATTGAAAACTCACCAAACTTGGCAGACGCATCAAACCTTCAGGAAATTTACATATTTTAAGATTGTCACAAAAATCCCAACAGAAACGGTGCAAGAGCGCCACCTAATGTTGCTGCTTTCAATATGTTCAGAAACCCATGACTTGGTCAAGAGTCGAGGTGATTTCCAGTAACATTGTGATCTTAATTTATTTTATTCTTTACTGAAGAAATCCAGCTACTTCTAATTGTTATGTCTGTAGAGAAACTGTCTGTCCATGGGGAAACTTTGCATCAGTTCAGGACATGAATGAATATCATCAGATTCAGATTATAATAACTGCAGCAGGTCACTAAACCAAACCAGCCTGGACTGGAGGCTCTGATGCACAGCAGGTTTTGATGCCACTACATTTTATTTGTTGGGAAACATTGAATGAAATGTATCATCTGCTGTTTATTGTCTTCCAGCTGAGCATTTGGTTGTGGAGCGATGGGAACCGTTTCTTCTCCTCAGACTGGTTTTCTGGAGAGCCTGATAATCATGGAGGCAACCAGCACTGATTACAGATGAACTATTCAGGTACAGGAAAATATCACAGCAGTTTGTCTTTCAGCTGGTCAGATGATGACTCATGGGGAAAACTAATTTACTGTACATGTGAACTCTATCTGAACTTGAATTGTTTTGGTAGCAGTTTCCAAAAACATAATTTTAGTTTTGTCCCATTAAGTGATCATTTGTTTTTGTCAAACCTTTTCTTTAATTTACTGATTTCTATGGAAAGAAGTTGTAAGTTTTCACCAGAGTAGAATATTTGTGTCGTCAGCAAATAACACAAATTTAACACATTACACTTTGCTTCTGTTGTTTATATACAAATTAAATAAAACTGGTCTCAGTACTGACCCTTGAGGTTCTCCACACAACAAAGTAGTTCTGGACTGGACTTCAATTTTTGGTTACTCTAACCAGACCTGGTCCAATAGTAACGGGTCCAAACTCTCATAATGCTTCAGTTTTAGCACAAACCATAGATTTAGATGTTAGCATTTGTTTGGGAATATTAAAATTTGATTGTTTTGGGAGTTTGAATAGCAACACTATTAAATTTGATTGAAATATTTCACAATGGAAAAAAAAATAAAAATTTACACTGTTTAACATTTCAATTTACTTTGTAAAAATGCATAAATATCTTTATTTTATTGCGGCTAAATCTGATTCTATGAGTTTTATGCTACAATCTTTGTGTGTCTCACAAAATAGTCAGAAATTATCACTGATTTATTTAAGTCTGGCCAACTAATCTCTTCCTCCTCTCCCAGATAGTGGAGGAAAAACAGCCACATAAAGTAAAGTGGGCCATTGCTGCGAGTTCCCCTCCCTGAGAGAGACTCGGACCGTGGTGATCATGGCCCTGAGAAGCTCTGGTCGTCGTCCTTTATTTACATTTCTAACATTTATGCACTCAAAGCTCAATCACAGCAGCTTCACTGTGGAGGAGGAGCTGAAGCCAAGAGCAAAGAAAAGGTATGAGCAGCACGTACAAGATGGTGATTGTCAGCACTAAGAGCCTTCTCCTGACTCTGGTTGGTTGAGTTTTATTTGCTTACAGATGAACATAGAAGTGCTGCATGTTTTGCTCTCAGCAGAAAATCCACTGAACCCTTTACTTTCATCAGCCTGTGGAAATGTGTTGTTACATCAGTCCAGTCCTTTACATGGCCGTACTCAGGATGAATCTAAAGGGGCCAGTGGCCCCATAGACTGGAACTGGCCCAAGTATTGAAGATACTAAATATGTTTCTACTGATGATATAAGCTGGCACAGAAACTGTAGATAATTTATCCCTTGTACCAATTTAACTTTTATCTTCACAGTTTCACTTTAATAATGAAATAAAATTAAGATGTTGCACTTTTGACTTCAGAAGAATTATGATAGAATCAGTTTTCATTTATTAGATCAGGTGGATTTGGTCTAGAATCTTTACTCTATGCTGAGGTCGACCTTCTGACCTCTAGAGCTTAGAGATGTTGTTGGATGCTGGAGTTGTAGGGAGCCGTTTTGTCCACCAGAGGGAGCCATGAGGAGTCTTCTGGAGGAGGGTCCCTGTGCATTATTGGCCTCATCAACGCCTGCATAAGAGGAGCGGGTGTCCAGTTCTCCAGTGCCTGAGTGTTTACCGATTTTGATACTCTGAGCCCTCTGAGTCTATTTATCTGAGAATTGGTTCATGTTCCCAGCTGATTCAAGTTTTTGTTATCTTCTCTGACGTCTTGCAGGTTTTCTCTCATCGAGTTGCCCGCTGACCTCAGATCCAAACCTAGGATCCTCTGTTGTTGATTTTCCAGCACAGCATCTGGAAAAGATCCGCTCCAGGCCCCACTGACTGCCAGCCCGCTCTCCAACGTGAGATCAGTCACCCCTGATCCCTTCGGCCCTCAAAACCCGGACTGCATCCTCCTCGAGCGCAAAGACCCAGGGTCCAGCATCCCAACCTTTCCCTCCCTGGCGGATTCTCTCCAGCCCGCTCCAGTTCTCATTTCACCTGTTCCCACTATCCACTGACTTCTTTTTCATTCATTCAATCATTTATTTTATTTTGGTAAACTGTCCACATCACCAGAAACAACAAAGAAATAACAATAAGCAATAAATAACCCACAATTTACCAAAAAGGAAGAGGCTGAAGCAAAGCTTATTCTTGCCTATTTTTTTACCCTATAACCTACCAGGATATTTTCACAATACATATATAAATCTAAATAATACATATATAAATCTAAATAAATGATAAGATTTTATCATTTTACATCTTAAAGCTCTTTTAAAGTTTACTAAAAAAGAATATAACTTAAATTCATCATTCAGTTCATTCCACAATTTCACACCAATAACTGAAATACATCTAGACTTTATCTGGCTCTTCTCTTTTGCACATTCAAATATAAACAAACCTCGCAAATTATATTTATTCTCTCTTAACTTAAATAATTTCTGAATACCTGAAGGAAGACTTTTGTTCAATACTTTAAACATTATTTCCAGTATTTTTATATAGACAATATCTTTAAATTTTAAAATATTACTTTGACTAAAAAGTATATCCGTTGGTTTCCGGTATCCCACTTTATTAATAAGCCTTACAGCTTTTTTTGCAGCTTAACTAATATTTCAATAATTGTTTTAATTGCATTTCCCCAGATTTGTGAGCAATAAGACAAAAAGACACTTCTCATCTCCCCAGCCCTCAGATCACAGAAGATCCAGATCCAGTGGTCCCAGAGAGACATCCTCAAACCCCATCAACTATCCTGTCATAAAAATGTTTATTTATCTGATTCCTCCCTCTCTAATCTGTGTTCTGCATGTGGGTTAAGCGAGTTGCGTTCAACATGACAGATGTGATCAAACATGAGCTTTAATAAAGAAAAGTCAAAGCATTTCACTAATAAATAGTTTCCACTTATGCTCATTAAGGACCTAAAAAGTTAAAAGAAAGTAAAATAAACCCCAAATAACTCACCAGTAACGCTGAGTCGACATCTTCCAGAGTTGACTCCATCTTCAGTTTTCACGTCACACTGATACCGACCAGAGTCTTCAGTCTCATTCTGGGGACACATGGAGTCTGATTCGTCCTTCTCTGAGGACGTCTTTGTCGCTCTGGACTCGTCCTGAAACTGATCATCCTGAGACTCTGGAATCTCAACTCCTTCATGAACCTGATAGAGAACTCGCGTTTTATCAGGAGCCAACAAGCTGCAGACGATGACAGATTTCTTCCAGTTCCCTGAGTCTTGGTGGTGAAGTCCACTCCAGAGTGATGTTCTGCTTCTCCTCTGCCTGATAGCTGCTCTGTGTCACATTCACTACAAATGTTGCTGCTGAGGAGACAGAGAGGGAAAGAGAGGGAGCAGACACACTGAGAAACTGGAATGGGAGTCTTTCAGCTCCATCTAGAGAGCTTTCTTGTCACAAAGACAAGATGGAGACTGACCACAGAGACATGAGCTGAGGATGAGGAGCAGCAGGATGCTGGACATCATCTTCATCCTGAGAGAGGAAGAGGAGGAGAGGCAGCAGAACATCAGTAACATCATCACTAACAATATGAGGAACAACTGGGTCTATGATGAAGGTGATAAAAGCTGTTTAGAAAGAGATCATTACTGCCACCTTGTGGTTATAAAACTCATACAGCGACTCTCAGTCAACAGGATTGTTTTCATTCTCTGCAGCTGCTGAACATTTTATTATAAAACTTTTTCTGAATGAAATCATTTCTTATAATTTGAAAACATCAGTGAGTGGAGTTTTACTTTTTTTACTGCTAAATAATGAAAAGTATATTAAGTCAATGACAAACAATGTACCAGTCCTTGCATCACTTGTCAATTTCACTGTTAGATACATTTTATATAGATTCATCACAGAGTTTTATTCTGTAATTCTTCTTGCAACATTAATTATAATTTACAGTCAATTAGAAAATTGCATCAGATCAATTTATGCTAAACAGAGATTTCAGATTTCTGAGAAATTCTGTTAATTTCTAAATATTTCTCTGGAGACTCAGGGACTGATACATGAATTAAATATAAACTTTACTTTCATCTGAAAAAAGAACTTCTCCTCAGTCTGGATAAAATGCTTTTAACTAGGATTCATCTGAGTGAATCCAACTCTTGTGAAGGAGTGAACTGAGTTGCTCTCAATCCAGACTCAGGTTTCTCCTGTGAGTGGCTTTTTGACAAGGCTGCAGTTATCCCTGCTGCAATGTTATTTAGCACAGCTTTTCCTTCCACTAAACTTTTGATAAACGCTCTGAACAACCAGCTTCTTACAGAATAACTTTTCTTTCTATATATAGAGAGAGAGATAAGTAACATCTCATCATGTGGGAGTCAACATGTTTTCTATTCTTCTTCTAAATGATCTCAAACTGAGAAAAACTTAGAGACTCAGGAAACCTTTGCAGCTGTTTAAGGAAATTCATTAGATTAGTGTCACACCATGATTTTAATAACATTTTACAATATATTCTACAGTAAATAAATTTCCAGAGATTGGAGGATGAGTTTATTATCTGTAACCATAATAAATGTAAAAACTAAGGGCTTAGAATATTTGACTAAATCTACATAATGTATGTTAGTTTCACTTTCTAGAATTAGTGAGAAAAACTATTTTACAAAATTACATTTTTTTGTGCTCTTATTTATTTCTACAATGTAAATAAATAGAAAATATGAACCCAGATATCCTGTCCTCAGACAAATGCTGTAATGCTCGAGACAGACAGCGAACAAAAATGAAAACAATTAAAAACTCCAAATGTCGAGTCGTCTGAACATTTATTACTCCTTTTTCTTTTGTAAAAGAAAGATATTCAAGATTTGAACAAGCTGTCGTTCAGCACGTTGCACATCAGAAAAAATGCTGGATAGACTGAAACTAAACAAAACCAAACCTAACTCTAATACTACCACAAGGGGGCAAGACAACAGAAAATAGGACTTTTAGTGATTTTTAGTATTACAATACACAGTTGTTGCTGAGAAAACATTCATTTAATGTCTCAACACACATTTAATCCCATTCAATGAGTTTATAACTGTGTTTAATGGATATATTCAATTATTTTGATTCTGGGATTTCAGTTTTCTATGTAGTAGAATGCTGGGAGGAAACTGATTGTAATTTTGAGCTTTGGGTGAAGTCGTCAGTCAGTCAGTCAGGTCTTTAACTCCACCCCCAGTTTGAAGTTGGAAGAACTGCCATTCTTGTTTCTGAACCTTTGTTATTCTTCAGTATTGGACGCTTATTCTTGAGAAATAGTTTTGTCATATATTACATCTGGATAAACAAATGTTAGGCAAATTGTATTATTAATCAAATATTTGTTATTCTTATGTATCTTTATAATGTATCTTTTCTTATATCCTTTGTATTGTTTAATTTCATCTTAGCATTAAGAATTTTTCTGTATTGTTGAATTACTCTGATTCTGTTCTCAGAAGGCCTCACTGAGGAAAGCAGAGACACAGGTTTCTGCAGGTTTATCTCTCAGCAGGAAGCAAGGCCTCTTTGACCTCCTAGATTGTTATAAAACTGACCGTGAAGATGTACAACTTGTTCTGTTTAACCCTGTGTCTGGAACGAGACTATCTAGTGCAAGATACCTTGAGTTTTAGTTAGTGATTGTCATTGGCGCTGTAGTTGTGATGAAGTGTTTTCTCCTCCCTTTAGAGCTACAGCGTTCTTTGTGATTAGGGATCCTGAAAACAATAAAAAGAGAGGAGCAGGCAAACGTGTTTCAGACGGTAGGAGATTGTAACTAAAGCACATCTCTGTCTGTTCTCCTGGCGAGTCAGAAAGAATGTAACTCTCTTCTCTTTCCTGTGTTTGTTTAATAGGTGTTAAACCTGACAACAAATGAAACATTTTCTGACTGTGAAATATGAAACACATTTCATATTTCATATATCCAAAGCAGCTTTTCTAAAGCAGTTTTCTGTTTTAAAACTTCCTGCTTTAAAAAAGGTTGAAAGCAGAAATATGTATCTTTACATTTTCACCTTATTTCACCTTATTGTTAAATGTAAAGACATAAATGAAATAGCTGCCATAATATTTTTCATAAACACAAAATGACTTATTTATTTCTTTGTTCTGTGTTAAACCAAAGCGTTTAATATTGACAGGAGAAACATAAAACATTCATCTAGCAGAGCGGATCAAACAGAAAAACAACTTACAGAGTTTTAAAGTTATTATAGAGATATAAAGCAGATAGATTTAGGATTTAATTATGTGTTTTACATCTAGGCTACTTCAGTAAAATGTTTTATTCTACTGTCTAAATTAGACAATGAAACCAACATGAATATATAAAACTTACTCGTTAGTTTTTAATCCTTTACCTGCGTCAACACCTGGTTGCTTCAAAATGGAGGAGACAGCATTTTAGTTCCTCCTTTCAAATTGCCACAGGGACGTTTTTGAATATACACAAATACTTATTCAAGATATCAGTAATGTTATTCTGAATAGTCCAGAATGTTAATTTAAGATATCTTAAATAGAAAAGTTGAATAATTCAAGATATCTCTAATTATTTAGAAATAACTTAAAGAAATTTTGAGTAGTCAAAATTATACTTGAATATATCTTTAATTTAGTTTGGTCTTGTCAATATTTGCTTTAAAGAATCTATAATTTATATTTATATAGTTTTCACTAGTCAAAACTACATATAAAGTCAGAATGTAATTAGAGATATTTAAATCACTAAAACGTCTAGTCATAAAACAATTGGAGATTTCTGGATGTAAGTGCTACAAAACTGAATTTATGTTAAAATGGTTTGCCGTATTATGTGTAGGGTTTCTGAGCATTGTTTATACTTGAGTTTTCAGGAAGACAGAAAGTTGAAAGGCTTCAAGGTGTTTTTAAAGAACGAAGCAGAAATTACTGGAGGAATATGAGCTGTTAAATATTTCAACAGAATTCATCTTAAAAGAGTCAGAATGAAAACTGAACAACAATAAACTAGAAGAGACTCACCTGTAACCTGGTGGATAAAACCTGTGGAGTGTTAAGACGTTTCCAGTTGTGATCTTTGCTGTTCA